TGCACAGTTTTAGTTCTAAAATATGATTTTAAATTGATGTTGCTGTTAATGTAAGAAAGAAACTCTGATGCAAAGACCAGCATTCGTTTCTTTCTTGACTCGCTTCCCTTCAAAGACGCAGTTGGTTGAATGTGCAGCAACACTGAAGCCACAAAGGAGGCCTGATCAGACCCTGCTGATCCTGGTCAGCCCTCTTTCAGTCTGCTGAATCCATCTGGTCTCAGATGTAATCCTCCAAGATGCAGGACCAACAGATTTAAGAACTGATTTGTCCCTCCTGCTTTTGGCCTTTTCAGAAACCTGATGTAATCCCAAATTTTTAGTGTGTCGATTGTTGATGATTATTTTATTTACTGCCTGCAGTGCAACAAAATTGCCTCTTGTGGGTAAAAAAATCAACTTGACCTTGAATCAACCAACCAGTCTAACAGCAGAAAAGTAATCAGCAACAATTCATCAAAAGAATCTAAAACTTTTCCAGTTTTGTAACCGTTTTCATTTTAAATGAAACATTGTGAAAACAGCTTCGTGTCATTGTTGGAATCTGAAACTGACGGCTATTAAATACATGAAGCAATCAATGCATACACAGGGGAGGCTCTCAGATTAATGGTGAAAGCACGCTCAGTAAGGATCCTCCTTTAATATCTGACAGATCTGTTGTGTCACGTTGCTTTCACAGACTTTACTGATTAAGCCCTTCATGTCACAACTCATTGTTTGGGATGCAGCGTACAGTAATTACAGCCACAGCAGGTATGTGACAAAGCATACGAACAGTCAGCGCGAGGAGAGGAAGCTTCTGAAATGACTTTATGTTCTAATGCTGGTGGATGATGCTGGTGGATGATGCTGGTGGATGATGCTCATTCTGCGAACAGTCGTGAAGCAGCTCAGCAAACAGACACGCTGTAAACCTCTGAAACACACCTGACCTCTTTATCAGAGTCAAGGATGTGATCACTTAATGCAACTCATCGCCTCTGCTGATGATGGCAGGTCATCTCACCTTACATGATATTATCATTGACAGAAATATTCTGATCAAAAGGAGAGAAAAGGAATCAGGTCGTGCTGCGAGCTGAACGGTGTTCTCTAATTGGAGCTGACACTGAAGATCATTTAAGAACAGAGTCCATCAATGAGATGAGTGTTCAAGCAATTAACAACCTGACTGATAATCTGGGCCGATGCTCAGCATTTTTCACAGCTATCTGCATTAGCTTTGTTGCTAAACTTCTCTGTCCACAGT